ACCGAAAAGGACAGGGGGGGGGGGGCCGTTTCGGCCCCCCCCCCTACGGGGCGCGGGTTAAAAATTTGTATAACATGTAGTATTTGGGCTGTAAACGAATTCCAACATTATAGCGCCATTTTTGAGGGTGTTCAGCGGTTCCAAGAGCAATTTCATCTAGTTCTGTACAGCCATGACGACTTTATAGACAAAAATTTTCAGAATGGCAACGTGGGGTTATTTGGCCGGGACTAGCGGGGCAACTTGGCCGGTGCGCTCAGAGTCACTATGCTGGGACGGCCGAGTTGTCATGGTCAATTATACCATAAAGGACATAATTCATGACCAACTTTGACTACCTTGATGCCATATTTCCTATTGGACAGCTGTAAGGGCATGTGACGTCATCAAAGGTTACCTAACGCTTTTTTTTTGCTAATAAAAACTTACAGAAAAAGATACAGCCGCGCAAATGGTCTCATTGTGTTCAGCTCGTCAAGGCGCATCGAATGATATACATGATGACCTTGAACTCACGTAACCTTGAGGTCAAGCGACCTGAGGTAACGTGACCTGAAGCCAACCTTGACCTTGACCTTGACCTTTCGAGGTCAACACATACATGTTTCGATGCGGAATGAGGAGAGAATTACGATGGTACTTTTAGTTTTGGCCTAACTTGATTACTTCAAAAGTTATTCGTAAAAAACTGTCATCGCATCTAGAGCCGCTATTTTGACTATTTTTGACCCCTGTGACGGCTGAGTCAACCTCCAAAATGCTTCAAATGCGTCGTAGGACACGCGTCATTGCTGAATGTGAAGCTGACTCGCCTATAACCAAAATCATGGCCTCAAACTAACACCGGCCAAATTGCCCCACACCCCCGGCCAAATAACCCTGCTAGTGGGGCAATTTGGCCGCTTTGCAGACCTTTGTAATACGCCACAATTTCAATATAAGTAGTTACTCAATCATTTCAAGTTTACTGTCCAAGAAATTAAAATGTATGCCACACCTGTCAGCGTTGAGAAAATGCAGAAATGTGTTGTCGATTTTTAGTTACATCGTTTTCTAAAAAAAGCGGCCAAATTACCCCACTCTCCCCTACTGAAGCCAAGCAAGGCTTCGAACGGATCCTCGCTGCGCTAAATGTCATGTATGTCATTTATGTCTAGAGACTCGGGAGCCGAGGCTATGGTGCCATTTACCTACATGGCAAAGGTTGAGGACGCTGAACCATACACCCATGGCTTAACCCGCGCCCCAGTGGCGGTCTCAGCCAACTTCGCCCTAGTGGGGGGGGGGGGGGCATACCTACCTATGTTACCACCCATCTCTAACTCAAAAACTAAGAGGGCTAGAAAGACGCGGTAAAAAGCAGTCGATAGCTCTCAATGCGTACGTTTGAATGTATTTCGGTCATTTTTCACCTTAGAGCAATATTGGGGTCACCAGAGGTCATCAAAGGTCAAAATTTGCCAATTGTCATTATATTTTTCAGAAAACATGCCGCTATCTCAGGAACTATGGTAGCTAGAAAAACGCATGGAAGAGCAAACGATAGCTTTTGAACTCTTTTTTTTTGAAAAGGTCATTATCAATATTGACCTCAGGTCAACGGTTTAGCCTCCAGAGGGCAAAAACTCCAAAAATAGCTGTTTTTACGGAAAGTGTTTTTCGACAATAACTTTCGACTACAAAAAGCCACGATAATTCTATGGCCAGAATCGTGTTCCCCTCGCCGAGACGCGTCGAATGAACTATAATTTGACCTTGAAAGGTCAACTTGAAAATTTGACCTCAGGTCAAGGTCATGACCTGACCGGAAAAGGTCATGTTGCATATCAGTCGATGCGTCTCAACAAGACAAACACAATGAGACCATCCCCAGCGTTCTATCTCTTTCCAATCGCGAGTTATTGGCAAAAAACTGTTTGTAGCCTCAAGTGACCTCGGATGGCCTGTCTAGAGGCTATCAGCAAAAATGACACCTTGTTCATCACGAGTGGACTAAATCATTGTGATTCTGAAATATTTGGACTTTTCCGATGCGTACACACGGATCTAGAGGCATTTTCATTTTTCTTCATTGACTTGTAATGGAAAGGTCACGCCACTGACCTGACCTTAGGTCACGGATATAAAAAATCCGAGATATACAAATTGTAGGCGCCCATAACAGCATGCAATCCACCAAGTTTAAAACCTTTCTGACAAACACTGCAGGCTGGACATGATTGCAAACTTTTTTAGGCTTGGTCAGTTAACTTGACCTGGTGACCTGACCTGACATGACCTGGGGTCAAAAATTTCACACATTGTGTAAAATTGATGTACCAAAATCTACCGCAAGCGGCGCGGCGCTACGCGCCGCGGTTTTTTAGTCACACGCAAAAAACGCGACAGGGTGGTAACATATGCCCCCCCCCCCCCACTGGGGCGAAGGTTAACTCCGATCAAGTTTTATTCACGATCGATGGCAACACAAATCAAATTCCTAAAACCAGACGTTTCGGCCACAGGGTGCCTTCGTCAGTGGACACTAGTGATTAATTAAATTAAAAACACATAGTATCAAAAACAATCGGTATAAATCGTTCGAAGTCGACACATCGGGCACAGGTTTCGAAATGCATTCTTTGGTTCAACATTAAAAACCTAAATTGAGAACAGCATTCATCACGCCATTGTTCTTGTCGCGTTCTTTTGATATGCTGAAAATTAAATTATATAATGAATGTACCTACAGGTCACAATGTAAATGTCGGAACGTTTAATTCGCTCGCCTTTTCTCAGAGTCTTTCAAAATTCGCCAATCACCTTTCGTTTAGAAATCGTTTACGTTTTGTTTCCTAGTGCCATCATTGCAGCCGCTTTTGCCCAGGTAAAAAATCCAGGTTTTTCGTTCACTGTATCTTGGAAACAGATGTGAGCTGCTTCCAGAGCTTTTCTCACCGATTTTGACATGCCTTTTTCAATGACATGAGCACTGTTCCAGTTTGGTAAATTTTGACATTTTTCGATATGAAGGACGAGTGCGTTCGATCTATTGTGGTTCCGGACATCGCGTTTGTGTTCTTTCAGTCGTGTGTCGAGTCCTCTTCCAGTTTCTCCTATGTACGATTTGTTGCATGGGCCTGAGCAAGTCTCATCTTAGAAATTCAACAGATATGATGGAGCAGCTGAAGGACATTGACATGCGTGAAAAGAAGTTGGCTAGCTTTGATGTAAAATCGTTATTTACCAATGTGCCGGTAGATGGGGCTTTAGATGCGATAGCGAGGGTGGTTAGCATAATCGACGAACAATCACTTCCACTGCCGAGAACTCACTACTTGGAATTAATTTCGCTGTGCATGAAATTCAACATCTTCACTTTCAATGGACAAGAATATGTACAACACAACGGACTCGCAATGGGGTCCCCACTGAGCCCCGTGGCTGCTTGTTTTTATATGGAACTTCTCGAGGAAGAAAAATTCAAGAACATCATGGGGGCAGACTGTACCTGGCTCCGGTACGTTGATGACGTTCTGGTGGTGGTCCCCGAAGATGTCGACCTAGACGAAAAACTCCGAGTCCTCAACGAAGTCGACAAAAAGATCCAATTTACGATCGAAAGAGAAAACGAGCAAAAAATATCATTCTTAGACACCCTTATCATGAGATGTGGACAGAAAGCAAAATTCACGGTTTATCGTAAGGTTACAAACAAAGAAGATTATGTCCATTTTTTATCAGCTCACAACGAACGAGTGAAAAGTGGGATCGTTATCGGATTTTTCTTACGAGCATTTAGAATATGTAGCGAAGACTTCTTAGAAGACGAACTGAAGCACATTTTCGATACGTTCGACCGGCTTCACTATCCAAAAGGGTTCCTACTAAGAATGAAACAGAAAGCGGAAGAAATCAGAAGGAGAAGCGCCGAAGAGAAACGAAAACGAAGACAAGAAGAGAAGAAACGTGGCCGATATATATCGATACCAAACTCAACACATGCCGACTCGATTTCACGACAACTTCGATCAAATGGATCGAATGTAACGATAGTTTCCGGAAGAAAAGTGGAAAATCTGACTCAGCCGAAGCCTGAAAAGAAAGATAGTAACAGTGTCAGGTATACAAAATTCCTTGCTCGGGCCCATGCAACAAATCGTACATAGGAGAAACTGGAAGAGGACTCGACACACGACTGAAAGAACACAAACGCGATGTCCGGAACCACAATAGATCGAACGCACTCGTCCTTCATATCGAAAAATGTCAAAATTTACCAAACTGGAACAGTGCTCATGTCATTGAAAAAGGCATGTCAAAATCGGTGAGAAAAGCTCTGGAAGCAGCTCACATCTGTTTCCAAGATACAGTGAACGAAAAACCTGGATTCTTTACCTGGGCAAAAGCGGCTGCAATGATGGCACTAGGAAACAAAACGTAAACGATTTCTAAACGAAAGGTGATTGGCGAATTTTGAAAGACTCTGAGAAAAGGCGAGCGAATTAAACGTTCCGACATTTACATTGTGACCTGTAGGTACATTCATTATATAATTTAATTTTCAGCATATCAAAAGAACGCGACAAGAACAATGGCGTGATGAATGCTGTTCTCAATTTAGGTTTTTAATGTTGAACCAAAGAATGCATTTCGAAACCTGTGCCCGATGTGTCGACTTCGAACGATTTATACCGATTGTTTTTGATACTATGTGTTTTTAATTTAATTAATCACTAGTGTCCACTGACGAAGGCACCCTGTGGCCGAAACGTCTGGTTTTAGGAATTTGACTTGTGTTGCCATCGATCGTGAATAAAACTCAATCATGTCTGATCATTTACAAACTCCGATCAACTTATCACACACAATTCCATGCACGAATGATGTTAATTAATGCGCACGTTTAAAGGCAACAAAAATCACAAAGAGACGCACAAAAACTGGTTTGTGTTCTAAGCATGGGTGTAGAACATGGCAGGGGTCTATCTGTAACGCCTCTCCCGCCATATTTGTTACAGGCAGGTGTCGATTTGTGACGCCTCTCCCGCCATCTTCCGGTCGATGCTGGAGTTCGTGTACTGCGGTCACGTGACACCCGAAAACTGGCCGCCCGAACAGCTGATGGAGCTTCTGGTGCTGGCTGACCGGTCAGTGACCTGGGAATGGTGACCTCTGAGGGCACGCAGTGACCTCTGAAGGTAGTGGTGACCTTGGGATGACCTCTAGGACGACCTCTCGGGGACGCAGTGGAAATTTAGTGGAGGCAGTGGAGGCTGTTATGAGGTTGTGAGTTGTGACCCCGGGGGAACAACGGTAACCTCTGAGTGAACGGATTGACCTCTGTGGACACGATGACCCCTCGGGGCACATTTACCTCTGTGGATAGGGAGGTAACACCTCGGGAACGCGGTGACATCCAGGGGAAACAGTGACCTCTAGGGGCGCGTTGAATTCTGGTGAGAGTTGGTAACCTTTGGGGACTTAATAACTTCCAGGCGTGCTTATCTCAGATTTATCAGGAGGGACCCGATGACCCTTCTGAAGATGGAGGGGACTGAAACTCGACAGAATTGGGGAAGGGAGGGCTTGGATTTGATGCATGACTGTGGGAATAGAAATACTTGTACATAACTATTATGTCATGTTGTGTCATCGTTTTACGGCTTTGCAGTGGGAGGTTTTTATCCATGTTCGGACGATAATAACCTTGTTTCGAACCTTGTTTTAAAGTAACGTATCCGTTAATACTGCAGACAGAGTAACGATATTTAGGGATTAACTTGTAATGATTATAGCGGCATATACTAAAACAAGGCAGACTAGTCTTTGTTCAGCTGCCTGTCCTTGAATCCTGCTAATGCCGCTGAAACGCCGGACATCTGAACATGAACGATTATAGTGTCTTGTGCTGTCTGCTGATTTCATAATAATATTTGAATAATATGACAGGATATGATCATCGCATTAAGTGTAATTAATCTACCACTACCATCATCTTGGATTGGCTGAACTCGACGAGTCCGCTACGTTCCGGGGTCTTTGATTGGTCACCGTATTGTAACGCCGCTTTTCATTGGTCGCAGATATGAGCTGGATGATCTCAAACACTCGTGCGAGGCTCTGCTCGAGACTCACATTGACGAGGATTCCGTCTGCTGCCTACTGAGTATAGCCGAACAGTATAACGCCCGGAAACTGAAGGTAATGAACGACCGCATTGATGGTGGACACTTTTTGAAGTTGTATCTTGTGTACAACTTTGGTCTTTGTCTCTCATCGCCTGGCGTGGGGTGACTTAGGAGACGGGTCACACCCTCAAATAGCTTTTAGGGGCAGGGACAAACTTTATTAGTGTCGTTTCCTTATGTGGTAATCTTTGGCTGTCCTACCCTGACTTGGAATACTTGTCCTCACATGACCTTTTCTGCGGGCTCAACGTTGAAGTTTATAGCCACAAACCGCGAGGTTAGCCAGTCTGAGCGCTGTCCTGACCTGGGGTTGCGACCTGTTCTGTCCTTGGCTGTGATCTGCCCTGTCCTATGACTTGACATGTGACCTATGACCTGACCTTACCGGCAGAGTTCAGCGCTGGAGTTTGTGGCCACCAATCCCGAGGTGGTACAGTCGGAGCTGTTCCTGGAGCTCGGGCCGGCGCTGCAGGCGGAGGTCGAGGAGACGGCCGTCTGGGCACCGCCCAGGTCAGTGGGTAGTGATTGGTCAGTGGGGTTTGGTCAGTTGGGTCGGGTCAGGTTAGTAAGTGGGGTCAGATCAGGGGCTGATATGAGGCTAGGACGGATGTGGGTTAGGTTAGGTCGGTGGGCTCATGTTGGGTGAGGTCAGGGGCTCAGGTGATTTCAGTTCGGTAAAGCCAATGGATTTGGAACAACGCATGGGTGAGGAGGTGTGACCGTGAGTCTGTAATACAAACGCGGTTTTTCAGTTTGGTGTTTGATCAGTTGCGAGGTCATATGAAGTTATTGCAGTCATTGATTACTGCACTAATGACTGAAATCAGATATAAATCAGTTCAGAAATCAGTTATCAGTTATTATAGTAGCTGATGTGTGAATGCACGATATTTTTATGGACCGGACACTGTTACGTCGTTATTGAATTCGCAGATGCAACAATATTTGTTTCGCCCGGCAGCCCGCACATGACATCGTATGACATCTTTGATGCCATATTTTCAGGTTTCAGCTGATATGTGACATTACTTTAAAGTCACTTCTATCTTTGTCAGGTGTCAGCTGATGTGTGACGTCAGCCGGCGCAGAATGGCCGACCTTCAGATCGACTCGCCGCTGGATAACACTGAGGAACTAGTGAACCTGACTCGCGGCATACACCTCAGACAGGTCAGTCACAACACCGCTATATAACACCGACAAATGGTGAAGTAAATACAGAGGAACTGGTGAATCTGACCCGTGGCATTCACCTCAGACAGGTAACTGATTTCAGTCGTGACACACGACGCCGAAGAAGCTTAGTAAATAGTAATATGACCCATGGTAGTTGGAGGCAGAATAAGGTAGTGGGGCAACGCCTTGCCTCCGTCCCGTGTTCTAACTTCTAACGCCTCTCATGTCAGGAACGTTTCTCCCGTCCTGCCGGCGTTTAAACTCCTGTTTTCTTATATTCTGTCTTGTTTCAATCTTAGCGTCTTCCTTGCCATTCATCTAATTTCGCTCTATACTCTAGTGACTTTGTCGTCAGTATGTCGTGTTTTCTATCTGTCTTCGATCGTCTTTTTTGCCCTTCTTGCGTATACCGTTTTGCTTTCTCCTCCCTTATCTCCCCTGTCAACTTCTCACCACCTCTTACCCCTCTCTCGTCTCTTACTACTCTCCCTATGCAATGCACTGCCTTCTCCATCACACTCCCCACTCTAACTCCTCCCTCATCTCTCCCTCAGACGTCCCGCTCTTCCTCCAGCTCTACTGAGGAATCTCCCGCGCCGCCGGCCGGCCGGCTGGAGGCCTGTCTCCAGCGACTGCGCAGTATCGTCGGAGAGGATGTCACGCGCGCAGAACTCATACGAGTTATACTGGCGGCCGATTATGACGTCAACAGGGCACTCAACTTCTTCTTCTCGGCGTGAGCCCCACGGGATGGGCTTTGAGGAACAATTGAGAGCCAGGAGTTCGAAGGCCGAATGTGACTATTTGTGATTGGTGATGATTGTATTTTCATGTTTACCTGTTTATTATTTATATTTATTTTTGTTGTCTTTTGTATCATTTATTTTTTAATTTATGAATTACTCATGAATTGTCTTATTATTAATGGTCTCATTAGTTTCGACTTTTATTTATTAGCCGAATTTTATTTGTTAGTCGCATTGTCTGATGTGCGCGTAATACTGCAAGGAAGCAGTCGGAGATTCTTAGTGTTTTGCAAGGAATTTTGACTACTTTTTTGACAGTTGAACCAGAATATCGATAGACGTAGTCCAGTGATATACAGCACATTTCCTGAGAGAATCGGAGCCGCTCTGCACTTTAGTCTGGCAAACCTTAGAACAACGGATTAAAAGCACAACCGCCACTGATGCGCGTACCTTTATATGCGCCTCCAATATATTCGAGAACATTTTTTCGGTTTCTTTTTTCAGACTTCTCTCCGAACCATACATTTACAATGATTTTAATAGGTGCAAAGGGGTTCAAGCACTTTATTTCTTTTTATTTGTATATGTTATTTATTTCTTTACTTATTTTCATTCCTTCTTTGGTTTGCCAGATTATAGAAGGCGTAGAGAGCAATCACCCTATGCGTTTAACGGTGTGAATGTGGGGACGCGATTTGGTGTGAAATTTGATCTCACTTGGTTGTGACCCGTTGTTTTTGTAAGTAGACACGAATTGTCTGAATTGTCACTGAATATGGCAAATTTGAGTCCATATAAATGTATGTATGCATTTACCGGTAAGTGGAGCCTGCCAGGCATTAGCATATAGGTACTGAATGTATCTCGCATAAGCGGACTGTTATGCATTGCACCAGAGGAGGAAACTGGTTGCCTTTTTAAGTTTCTGTGAATACATTTATGGGATGTTAACTACTAGACATACCTAGTCGAAGGCAAGCTTTACAACAAAGCCATGTTCGGTTTAATGTATTGACTTATGGATGGCGTATGATGTTATATTCATATCTATGTTCTCAATGTAAACGATGACCATCCGTTAACACCAGGACCTCGTTTCATAAAGCGAGTCCGTAACTTACGCCGGTTTTTGGTATTGTATTGCAAGTGCATGTGAAGCGATGACGATAGCTTGAATCGTTCAATTTATTTATTTTGCAAGCAAGAACAGAAGGGAGAAGGGCAAATAAATTTATTGCTTTACATGCGCTTGCAGTACAAGCCCAAAAACTGGCGTAAGGTACGGACTCGCTTTATGAAACGAGGCAGAATGCAGAATGCGCCGAAAGTATTTAAATGTGATGGCATGTGCGTTGAAGCGACTGGATACGGTTATGCCAGGTGATTGCCGATCTGTGTGGTTTTATAAGCTGTGATCTTTAGGTTTCGGCATAACAATTTGTTCAGTCAAGCCTTGGCTAAAGCTAGAGAACATGTTTCCGAGGCCCTTTCGAACAAGTGTACCTATCTGTATCAGTATTCCACGGATAACTGTGTGTGGTAGATATTGAAAGAATGCTAGTTAAATGTTCGCGAGAGGTGTCCCGCCACGACCTTGACGATTATCTTTGCGGAACACTGGTACCATTTTGCGCTTATTTTTTTCGCTTTTTTTCGAGTCTCATCATGCATTCGGTAGATATTATGCATTCGTTTGTTTTCGCAATTACGTGTCGATGAAGCATAGTAATGAATTTGTCACGCAGATGAAGACAATACGGTGGTTGCGGCTCGTGTAATACAGTTCGGAAACTTTCAATATAAATGTTTTACATAGTTAACTTAAGCCAACGCTTAACGCAATCTTCATTTCAGTCGGTCAGCCTGTTTGGAATGTTTGTTGGTCAGATTTCATGAACTAATAGTTCACATGCTGTATTTATTCGGCATATCCATTTTTTACGCCGTTCCCGATGCAAGTTTTTAGTTCAATAAATATCATTGCGTCAGTTTTGTGTTATCGTGCTTGCCCATACTTGGCTCATCTTATCGTGCATCTAACAGACCGTGTGCTCCTTCATCTTTCTAGTAATCACCATTCACCACTACCTTTCATACGGCTCAATTTTTCCGAACGACTAGCTTCAAACAGGCAATGAACTTCAAACAGGCACTGTGCAGTGTGCACAATGCGAGCCCCGCGCTTGGTCTTTGCTTGGCGATCAGTCCATACTCGATGTTCCTTCGATTTGTTTGACACGTTTGTTCGATGCATTATTTCACACCGTACAATGCCTGCACTGAAATTTACACATGCTTTGAGACTCATGACATTATGCGATAGATTCAGAATATGGATTAAAAATATACCGTTCGGAAACAAGACAATGCGGAGAGGGCCCAGGGGTATCAGTTTACTGCACCAAATTCGCCGTATTAGGAACCATTTTTATTTAATTTCCCATCGTGGCAGTGAAAACAGCAATGCTAGACAAATAATTATCTTACTATAACTTACCGCTCTCATTTTATAAATCACATGTTTCACCGTTCGAATCTACATGATCACAGGTTGATACAAACCCGAGCTTGCCTCACTGCGATCACAACATACAAGCTAAATCGACTTCAAAACTCAAAGCCGTTAACCACAAAGCGCTGATAAACCATAGGCTAAATAAAATGCCACCCGAACTTAACGACGGGTCAGCCGATTGACTTCTTAACATCAGCTCTCAAACAAAGTTGCATTGGGTCCAATACATCAAACCTGATGGCACCGGTTGTGCTCGAACAAAATGGCACACATGACAACCATCCTGAGGAAGACAAGCCCATATGGACCAATTATGGACAATCTGAATTCACACGCTGGCAAGGCAAAGCACACACGATTGCCAACCCCCTATTCGACCCCCACATCACTTCGACTTCATAAACTCGTCATGCCTTTTGACTAGCTCCTCCACAATCCTAACCTCCAGCTCCTCCTCCCCGACTCGCGTCACTGTGACCGCCTCTGCGGCGGTAACCATGGTAACGGCGTCACGTCTCGTTTGCAGAAGGTTGGCAACCACCAGCTGATGGCCGTACCGTGCTAGCGCAGCACGGGCCTTCTTTTCCAACACACTGGCATCCGTCTCCAGCTTGAAGGTCACCGTGAATGTATCGGGGCACCAGAGTGAGGTCAGGTCGCCGACCACCTTCCGCACCGGCTGCAAGGTCAACGTCAGGGGTTCCGAGCCGGAGGGCAGCTTATGCTCGGGTAGATCCTCCTTGGGAATGTAGAAATCAGACACCGCGGCAGCTAGAATCACCGTCGCTCTCGAGCCAAGGGGGCACACGGATTTACAAGCCAGCTCGAGAAGGGAGATATAATCGTCTACTGATGTGAAAGGAATGGTCAGCAGACGGTCACGAGAACCCCTCCACGCGCGCACAGGTGCCGTGAGCGACCGTGCCGAGGCACCGACAAGTGTGCACGAGCCGCTTTCCTCCGCGGGAGGCTCCAGGTCAGCCAGGATCGCAGCTGGGTCGATGTGACGGAGAAACGGCGCCAGGGAGCCGCGACGATGTAGCAGGAGAACATGATATCTTTTAGCCAGGAGGTTCTCGGCGCACGCTGCGCCACGTTTTCCTGTGCTGAAGTTGTCGAGGAAGCGGACGGTGTTGCGTTCTAGAGGCACGGCAGTACCGCCCGACGTCAGCAGCGCTACAGGAGCTTCGGCGGCGATCGCAGTAGATAGAAATTCCGATATTTGCCGCGAGATGTCCTCAGCGTCCATTTCACTATTTCCGCCCATTCTTATTACCTGAAACAGCGAGCACCAAATGCCACCTCCGTCAAGCAAAGCTACGTGGGGAAAATAAATTTGCCTGTAGATTGTTACACAGGGTTTCAGCGCACCCACCTACCTACCCAAGCCCCCCCCCCCCCATGAACGAAATCAAAACCAATGCTACATGTCACGGCCTATTCACTACGCTGCACTACCGTACAAGTTAGGTCATTCATATAAAAACGATATGCGGACTCGCTCAGGCTTAGGCTCACGTTGACGTACAATAACACAGTTCAAGACAACAAACGGATGTGAAATACGTGAACAACCACGGAAATTAAAAAATTGGACGGAAATTGAAATATGATTCTGAAACTATTTCATTGCAAGTAAGTACCGGGAGTTCCTAAATAAACAGTCGTATTTAAAAGCTGTATATTATCAGCATGGAAGGCATGACAGAAACGAATCACTTTCTAACATCCACAATAGTCGATGCCATTTCACGTGATACCATCTTCTTTTTGCTGTCTTTTCATTTGCGGCCACAGAGGACGTGTTCCAGATGAGCCCCCTCTCTCTCCACACACAGCTCTGCGCGTCGCCGAGCGGACTCCACCGCAGCCCGGCAGATCTCCGGCCGCACTCGGCGCACCGCGGACGACACGGCCCTCTTGAGGTCATCTGTGGTTCTGGGGTTGCTTTTGTAGACCTGTGACTTCAGGTGATCCCAGAGAAAGAAGTCAAGTGGGGTCAGATCCGGAGAGTGCGGGGGCCAGGTCCGCACCTCTCTGCGGGAGATAACCCGCGAGCCGAACCGGTTCCGCAGCCATTCTCGAGTCGCAACGGCCGTGTGCGCCGAGGCTCCGTCTTGTTGGAACCATTGTTGGTCCATCAGCTGCCTGTCTCCACCCAGCCGCCTGTTCAGCGCAGTCCAGAACTTGGCTAGGACTTGCCGGTAGCGCTGAGCGTTGACGGTGACAGACTCCCCAGCGTCGCTCTCAAACCAGAAAGGTCCGATTATGCCACTGCTGCTCATTGCACACCAGGCTGTGCACTTCACACTGTGCAGAGGGGCTTTCGCGACCAAATCGGGTGGCTCCGTCGACCAGAATCGAAAATTCTGGGAGTTCACGCGGCCATCCATATGGGCCTCGTCGCTGAACCAGATTCGGTGAAGGAACTCATTGTCCTGCTCGCAATTTCTCAAACCCCAGCCGCTGTAAAGAAGCCGTGACTGTTTGTCGACTTTCGAAAGTGCTTGGTGAACGGAGACCTTATACGGGAACAGCTGAACGTCGTTTCTGGCCAAACGGTGAGCGGTGGTTTTGCTACAGCCCAGTTCCTGGCCAAGCCGTCTGAGCGACTTTTGTGGGCTCCTCTGGAGGGCTTCTCGTGCCTTTTGGGCGTTTAGAGGCGTCCTCTTGGTTCTTTTTCGGCCACATTTACCCTTTTTTACGTTCTCCACACTACCTCTTGCCAAAAACTTCTCAACTATACTTAAAATGACGGTTCTTGATGGCACTTGGGTCCTTTTTAAGTGTCGGCGTAGCTTACGTTGTGTTGCAACGATTGACTTTGTCTCAAAATAGAAATGTACTATTTTTGTTTCTATGTCTGTACCAAGGTCTGTACTATACGGCTGCATGATAGAAAGTGATTGATTTTGGTATGAAATAAAATGGCATTGCACGTGCTATCATCACGTGCAATTTGATTGTTGTGATTTGTTAGTTGACGCCACTAGAGGCAAAAATAATTCGACTGTTTAATTAGGAACTCCCGGTACTTAATGTATGACTTAAGAGTCATGTTACGTTTTCCTCAAGTTATAATGAATATGAAATAATATTTTCGGAGTTTCTTGAGTGATATATATTGAAAAATTGATAGCAAATATTTCGATACTCGTAGTGGTACCTTTTTCAATGCGAGTGATGCACAGTGCGAGCTTTGTTAAGCACAACAAAATAACACAATTCCCATGCAATCGGTGGAGCTGGGTCCTCCAGTGCAGATAAAATAACCTATACGATACCGCCTTCCTAAGAACTTATACAATATCACTGTCTATCCCGGAATTTTGATTAAATATTTAGACAATCAGCGCTAATTTAATAAAAAGAGCGTCACTTCAGTTACAGGTAAGTCACACTTACACAAGGTGACCCCCCCCCCTCGCGTGTTCGTTCAGCGTGCCAACCACTATCTTTTTAGCACAATGTCCCATATTGGGCTCAGCTGGACGCCACCGCTGTCGAGATTCATTGACGGGCGCAGCTGTCGGATCTCGATGGCCTCCCTGATTTTACGTTTTTTTCCAGTGGCGTTCGATGGCTAGGGTTCTCGCCTCGAACGGGTTCAAGTCACCGCCACAGGTACAAAAGTGTCTGGCCGTCGCTGACGTATCGCAGCGTCTCGTGCGGCTCCAGCTATATCGGAGAGTCAGGGCGACCAAAACAGGACAGATTGAAGGAGCACACCGCCGATATCAAGCACGGACGCTGCGATACGTCAGCGACGGCCAGACACTTTTGTACCTGTGGCGGTGACTTGAACCCGTTCGAGGCGAGAACCCTAGCCATCGAACGCCACTGGAAAAAACGTAAAATCAGGGAGGCCATCGAGATCCGACAGCTGCGCCCGTCAATGAATCTCGACAGCGGTGGCGTCCAGCTGAGCCCAATATGGGACATTGTGCTAAAAAGATAGTGGTTGGCACGCTGAACGAACACGCGAGGGGGGGGGGTCACCTTGTGTAAGTGTGACTTACCTGTAACTGAAGTGACGCTCTTTTTATTATATTAGCGCTGATTGTCTAAATATTTAATTAAAATTCCGTGATAGACAGTGATATTGTATAAGTTCTTAGGAAGGCGGTATCGTATAGGTTATTTTATCTGCACTGGAGGACCCAGCTCCACCGATTGCATGGGAATTGTGTTATTTTGTTGTGCTTAACAAAGCTCGCACTGTGCATCACTCGCATTGAAAAAGGTACCACTACGAGTATCGAAATATTTGCTATCAATTTTTCAATATATATCACTCAAGAAACTCCGAAAATATTATTTCATAAGTAAGTACTTACCTACGCAGCTGAAGGTGCTAGCAAGGGCAAAGCAGGAGAGTAAATACATTTACCATTTATCACATATTTAGACCCAGCTAATGCCGTATAGGCATAGCACAGCACAGAAAGCAAAAAATAATTGTGCTTTTCAACTACCAGAGACGGTTTTTTGCAAAAACGGCGCATTTCCGACAAACGAGTTCATCGACTCGCCCGACGACCGGGTCTTCATCAATGACGCAAAAAAGAAAACATATGTATTCAATTTACTATCTTGTGTAAAATTCATCACATAAATTGTTATTTAACGAAACAAATACCTTATCACAACATATTACTCAAAAAAGCCGTTCAAATGCTGGAAATGCTGTTTTTACGTCAGCAAAAATTTCCTTCTTATCAGTCAGCTGCTGAATTGTAAACGTCAACGTGTGATGTGATGATGATGTGGTTATTTATGTAATTGTTTATTTGCTCTGTAATTGCGAGGGGTTTTTGCTGTGACTTGGCTGTTGAACTCCTCTAACGTTTTGGATTTCCTTTACCAACTTTTCTTTTTGCCCAAGAAACTAGGAATCAAGACAAGGAGTCAGAGTGCGTCATACGATACCTTATTCTTAAAAAAATGGCATCAAATGTGAGTATAAATGCATGATATATTAAGCATATTGTGTCGTGACAGCTCCGCTCATCTTTTACTGAAATGTTAGTAGCTTGGAACTGGTAGCTTGGAACAAGAAGTGTACATCTGTGTCCATAAATAACGTGCCTCGGGCAAATTGGTTCAAGTTAATGACTGCATGGGTGAAACCCTCGGCGGTGTTTCACGGGACGCTGCTACCACGCTGCTATCAAATTGCGCGAGCTGACGTCACATTTGTGGTAGTGTTGGAGCAATGGGCCTGTTGATATTTCCATGGAAACCCAATTTGACACGTGTAAAAGCAGCGTGCTGCTATCACGGGTGAAACAGGGCCCTCATTTTGCATCCTGGGCCCTGTTTCACCGGTGATAGCACACGTGTCAAATTGGGTTTCCATGGAAACATCAACAACCATGACGCCATCAATCTGTGTGATGTCATCAAATATTGCTGCTAACATCTTCACAGCTGTGCGATCAAACAAATGTTATCAAACGCATTCAACGAGACAGAAACTCTGTTCCAAATGCAGCTCACGGATTACACTCACCTGTTGGGGTTCCCTACTTGCCGAGCGCAGCCATATGGGAAAGTTCAGGATGGAATGAGGGAGGGAACCCGCAAAGAGAGGGCTCGCCCAGAGGCATAGTGCACAGGAGTGCACAGCCATTCCGGGGAGGTGAGCCCGCAGGTGCCAAACAAGATACAGTCAATGGTCCTATTGTCTAACAGAAGTAATGCACAATACATAATACTAATAATACGAATAGGAAAAGCGAGAGCATGAACGACGAGCCTAAGAAATTGTCCACTAACGAACTGATAATTAAACATAGCGAACACAAGATATAGGCTTAAGGCTGATACGCAAACAGGGTATCTCCCAGGCAGGTAGACAACATGCCTTTGAACTTTCTAAGGTCGGCCTCAGCTACGACTCGATCAGGGAGAGCGTTCCATGACTGAAGACATCGCATCGCGAACGATCGGGCCCGTACACGTGTCTCAGCTCGGGGGTGGAGCACTTTTTATCTGTGTCCTCGAGTCGCAGAGGCGGGAGCAAGCGCGAACAAGTCAGTTGGCTCGACAGCACATTTACCATGAAATATCTTCCAGCACTGGATCAAGTCAGTGCGAAGCAAGCTGCCCTGAACCAAGTACTGATTCAGGACCTGGAGCCGGGATTTGTAGTCTAGTTCCCTCAGTCCTGACACCCGCTTGGTCCATCGCCTCTGAACAGACTCTAGGAGGCGCAGGTCACGCACGAATCCCGTATGCCATACACAAGTACAGTACTCTAGAATTGGACGAGCATGGGTGTTAAACAGAGTCATCATGAAATCAGGGGACCTGCAAACAGTGGACTTCAGAAGATTCTGCGTTAAACCGGCAGCTTTAGATACTGTCGCAGCGATATGTTCATGAAACTTGAGGTCCGAATCAATCGTGACTCCAAGGTCAACGTGGGAGTGTACGACTTGGATAGATGATTCGGCAATGCGGTAGCACGGGGGAGGAAGAGTGTGTAGTTTTCTCTGAAAACGAAGCACAACACATTTCTTTTCGTTCATTGTGAGACACCAAGACTTCGCGGTGCCCTGCAGCATGTCGATGTCTCTCTGGTAAATCCGAGAATCATGCATATAGTTGACCTGGGTGTCATGACGTACTTTCATGTAGATTTTAAGGTCGTCTGCAAATATCTTATATTGACAGGTCAGGTTACTGGCAACGTGGTTCACAAAGACGAGAAAGAGAATGGGACCAAGGACAGAGCCCTGTGGAATGCCTCTCGTGACGAGCTGAGGGTTACTCAGCCTGCCCTTAATGTGTACCGTCATGCTTCGTCCGACCAAAAAGTCCTCGATCCATCGAATTAGGCTGGGCTGGATGCCAAGGAGGTGTAGCTTTGCTAGTAAGACGGGGTGAGAGACTACATCGAACGCTTTGGCGAAGTCGAACATAATTAGGTCTACAACACTTCCATTGTCCACGTATTTCGATACGTCATTGTAGACTAGGAAGCAGCTGGTCCATTGTCGATCTACCGGCTTACACGAAACGTCATTAGTGTGACCTCATCACATTACGTCAGCTCGCGCAATTTGATAGTAGCGTGCTGCTATCACCGGTGAAACAGGGCCCTAGGCTCAACATTCCATGAAAACCACATCATTATAATGTTTCAAACCATGTCAATGTATCAACCTAGAAAATTGGGTGGTGGTAAAGCAGGTGTCACACTTGTTTTTTGCAACCAAGGAGAGGCGCTTTACCCAGAGATGCTTTCTAATCAAATCAACCCAAACCAAACCTGACCTAACCTTACCTACAACTTAAAACCTACAACCTTGAACCTACAGTCTGCAGCCTAACCTACCACGCCTCTCCTTAGTTGCAAAACCAAGTGTGATGCCTACTTTACTAGGTACTATCCAGTTTTGATTCTTCCACCACACACACTGCACAGTTCACCAGCTAGTGAGTGCTTCTGCAACAATAACATAAGTTTTTGTACAAGACTCCAGATTGCTATGCTTCATAGTCTGGGTTTTTGGCATTGTTTTTCTTTTCACTTTGTTTTGTTTATGCATCTATGTTTTGTGGGTGGTAATCACCATGCCATGTGTGCATGGATTGTCCATGATAGTAATGCATGTTCATACATACATGTATGCATCCATAATCATGGTAATGAAACATTGCAGGTGGCACTGAGCCATTGAAAGGGTGTCTCTTAAACACATTCAAAGCAATCCCAAAATGAATGTTTTTTCATTTAATGCCACATTGACATGGCCAGTTAAGATCAGGTCAAAGGTGCTCTCTCCCCGTGGCATGCAAGGCCTGTTGGCTCTTTGCAATATTGTGAAATGAATAACCAATTGACATTTGTCTTTTTCAGGCACCTCTACTAGATGATGATGATACCCTTGCTTTTGGAGAGGAGAATGAAGACAAAGGAAAGCTCAAGTAAGTTGTAGTGCTAAAAGATGTTTTCTTTTACAGATATTTACTTTCATCATCATCTCTTTTGGTCCCCAGCTTGGCAGAATTGGAACTGATGTGTGTTGCATCCACTTTCTGCTGCATAATTAACTGACAACTGTCTTTCTCTGGCAGACATCCGTTCGTCACACTCTTCCACCTGCTGTTCCGCTTTGGTGCGATCCTGACGTACATGCTGTGTGCAGTCTTCGGGATGGGCTTCATCACCAGCTTCATCATGATCGTGATGCTGCTGTCGGCAGACTTTTGGACAGTGAAGAATATCACAGGTGAGCATAATTGGTAGGTAGTGGAATATTAATCGACCCAGCGCATTTCGTGGTATTTTTTATACGTTTGTTCGTCAGAAGTGGAATGGGACTCCAGCGTTGCACTGCAGCCTTGACACGTTAGGATTTTTGTTGGTATTAGAGTGCTATGAATAAGCGTGAGATCCTCTCAAGGCGATTTTGCCTATGCTTTTTGCAACATCTTATGTTATGTATTCGTCTCTTGCATGGACTTGATCCTCGCGACTTCACTCCCACTCCAATGCAGCCATTTAGACAGTACTCTCCTGCAAGTAGCGGAAAACGTCATTTTCTTTACTATTTTCCTACGCTGCTTCTTATTCCGTTGGCTTATTTTCAGGTAATGCGTTTTTCGTCGAACTGTGCGCTGACCGCGGTGATTCTAAACCGCAATCACCTCTCTGACCCAGCGTGACCTGTTCTGCGTGCCTCCAGGTCGACTGATGGTGGGACTTCGATGGTGGAACTACGTGGATGACGAGGGTGTCAGTCACTGGATCTATGAGAGCAGGAAGGTAGGCACAACAAGTACAGTCAGTCTGCAAAGTACCTCGCATCGGTGCGGTGGATCTATCAAGCCTGACCGGAGAAGGGCTGCTAAATTTGAGAGTCACCGAATTATTTGACATCCTCATCCATCCCCCAGGTTGATTGGCGCGGTGTCAGAACAAATGGTCTTTATTTACCAAGCTTCGCCTGTCAAACTTGAAAGGCTTAATTTTAATTCTAAATATTATTATTACGAGCGAGCGAGCGCAGCGAGCGAAGTGAGTCTTTTCAATGTAACGGAAAAATCTCAGTATGAGCGGCCCGGCCCGGCCCGGCCTGTAACGCTTTTGAGAGGCTTATATCTCAGCAACCGCTGGACTGATTGGCCTGCGGTCTTTTTTGTTGGGTAGCCCCATCCCTTCTACCCCGTAATTGACTACTTTTGATACATCTCAGTGACCGTCGTGGCACGTGCCACGTGAAAAGTCAAGGGTGTTCAAGCTGTTTTGCAAAAGTAGTGATTTTGAGAGGCTCATATCTCAGCAGCCGCTTGGGCGATTGACTTGCGGTATATTTTGTAGGGTAGCAGCATCCCTTCTACCCAAAATAGGATACTCTCGATGTATGTGGGTCACCCCCCGTGCACGTGCAAAATACAACAATAAGAGGTGCCAAATTTGTTCCCATTTCAGTAACTCGGTAATTACTGGGGCGATTTCGCTGAAACTTGGCATACAGGTAGGCACCCACCAGGCAATGCATTCCCATGTGTTGCGGTTAGGGTGCTACTGCACGTGCG